GCTCTCTTTTTATTTTTTTTCTTCTCAGCTGAAGAGAAGAGTTTTTCCTTAAAGGCTGACTATTTTTTTTTACACATGTGTTTGTGTACTTTTGTTTGTTTCTTTTTTTTTTGTGTTGTCGCGCGCGTGGGTGGCCCTGTGCATGCTGCTATGCGCCGTTTGTCATGAGGCAATGGGGCCACTTTTTTGCCTTCCTCTGCTGCCTTTGCTTGACGTGCCAGTAGGGGCCTGATTGCGCTGATGCAGGGGCGGAAGGAGGTTGGCGAGGCGACCACGCGGGTGTTTGTGAACAACCAAAACACGCCCTTCGCCACCGTCACGATCCCGACTTCTCCGCCCCGTGAGCGGGAGAAACGCTTCTTGGGCGATAGCGTGTATGCCGAGTTAAAGCGGGACACCTTCGCATCACTTGGGAAGGGCGACAAGGACTCCACGGGTGTCGCTGGCTTGACTTCCCTTCGAAGAAATGTAAGAAATATGCCCGGAATCATGATGGAGGACGTGCATCCGCAGCTGGAGGATGTCTACCAACGGGTTATGCGCCGCCTGCAGCGGAAGGCAAACTATGACGAGATCGGTTGCCCCTCCCTCGCCGTGCAGTTTGGGATCGTTGACCCAACTGACGAGGAGCGAAGCCGAGAAAAGAACGAGCACGACTCGGATGAGCCACACACCTCGGCGCACTCATCCTCGTCAAACGGCGCCCATGTCAAAACTGGTGCTCCAAGGCGGAAGCAGCGCGGAAGAGGCCTACCGCGATCGGCGGTCCTTAACTCAACAGGCAGTGACGCCGAGGATGACACATTTTTCTTGTCGCAGCAGCCGTGTCCCAAGACGCTGCGAATGGTCCTTGAGCAGGTCAATGCCACCGTGACGGAGAAGCTTCGACTTGCAGACACGGGGTCGTTGAAGAATTGTCTTTGTTTCGTCTTTGAGTGCCGCACGATGTTGGAACGTCTGCTGAAAGAGATTCCTTCCTACTCGCAGTTTCAAGGGGAAGGGGAACGACTGCCGACGGCTCCGCAGATGCAGGAGATGTATCAAGAGTTTAGGCGGGTGCCGGTGGTGCTGCCATCCGCGCAGTTTGAAAAGGAGGCAAGCAACGGCCGTGTTGTGGCTTCTGTGTTATACAACGGGCTGCATCCCCAGAGCTCATTGCTTGCGGCCGGTGGAGAGCCGTCACAGCCGCGGCAGCCGGAGGTGAGGGTCTCTGCCGACTCCACGCCAGTAAATGCAGGAGAGGACTCCGCCTTCGAGACCCCGGGGTTCGAGGCCGGAGGAGAGCCACCGAAGGTGGCTCACTTGGGCGGCGTTGCCATCGTCATTCCCCCGACGTATGGCAAAAGCATGCGGACGCAGCAAAATGGTGGTCGTCCTATGCGAGCAGGGGCGGGTATGGAGTCGCGCGGCAATGCCCGTTTTTTTGGTGCAGACACGGGCCGCGCGACGTCAGCTGTGCATCCCCTTTCGCGTGACGAACCGCTCGACAGAAAAGGGGCGGAGGAGCCTGCGCCCATTCTAGCCGCCTCCACTACAAGCAACCAAGCGGCTCCTGCTGTTGCCCGTAACAGTGGCAGCGTCAGCACCTCGGGGATGGACGCAGCCGCAACGGCTGGGGCAATAGTGAACTCGCTACTTCATGCGGAAAGGGAGCGGCTTGTGAAACAAGTCTTCTCGGTTGCTACCCTCACCGACATTAACAACATGTCTGTTGTGAATCGAGAGGACTATGATGAGCTGCAGGCGTACGCAAGGACGCTTGTTGTGGAGATTGAGGAGCGAAAGCAAGAGGTACGTGCGCTTCAGGAACAGTTGAATGAGGAACGGGAGTACACCACACAAAAGCGAAAGGTTGTGCAATACTTGCGCGAGACGCTTTACAAGGAGTGTAATATTCTCCGCTCTCAGCTCTCCGTGGCGCAACAGAAGCAAATTCAGTATCAGAGTCTCTTGAAGGAGCAGCAACAGGCCCTTGCACATGCAGCAAGTGCCATGAATGCCGAGGGACGCGGCGGAACCAGTGTTTCTACGCATGAAGTAACCCGTCTTCCAAACATCAGCAGTGCGCGTTTTGCCCAAAATGAAGCCTCCGTGATGGGGCTTTCCCTGGCTCCAGGTGTGCAGAGTTTTCGACGCGCCAATCTAAATGTCTCCGCCGTAAGTATGGCCCGCGGCAGCGTCAACATGGAAGAAAATGAGGAAGGGAATAGCTCTGTTGTAGCGGGTAGTGTGAGCGCCTTGACTCCAAGTCAACGGTTCTCCGTTGAAATCACGGCGATCCAAAGCCTCTTGGATCTCGTCTTGCTGGCTGTGGAAAATGATCAGGTGCTTCCGGCCAACGCGGTCCGGGGCAAAAATGTAAACACGAGCCTTCTCGCCAACACCATGAGGGATGATGAGCACCACCGCGAGGAAAAACTGCGGAATGAGTTTTCTGAGCGGCAGCGGGAGGCGAAGCAGAATTATTCGCTTGGCCGGGCGCAAATGGCGACGTTGCTCTCCATGAAGGAGCAACAGATAGAAAATATGAAGAAATTCTCCGATATGCAGTTCCTCGGGAACTACTGGGAGGAGAAGTGTAGCGTGCTGCGAAGCGAGCTTAGGCGTATCCGTAAGGCCGTCCAGGAAGACTTGAGCACGCTTAAGCAGTTTTTGGTCACAACTATGGAAACTATTATTAAACGTGTCTATGTCGTGGATTCAAGCTTGGGTGAGAACCAAACCCTATTCGCTACACAGTCAGCCTTGCGAGATGTCATTTCATCTGCCCATTCCCTGCTTTTGCCCATGCTAACGACGGAATATGAGCGTGGTTACCACCCATGGCCGCTCAAGCTACGCAACACAATGGATCCGTTCTCCCGGATGATTAAGGCGCGGTACGGCGACGCGCAAATGATACTTGTGCGGGAAGAGATGAATGCACTAAGCAGCCTTTATGTTGCGGTGCATCATTACGTGATGAAAAATGTGGTGTCACCCGTCTTGAAGCGACCGTTGCCTGGGAAAACGCTGCGGAACCTGTGCGCATTGATGTCGATGAACAATGGCACATCAGCGGAGCTGTGGACGCAAATTCGGGTAAAGTACACACGTGAACTTGGCTTCCAAAAGAGTATTGCTGAATTGAATATGTTGATTGTCTCTTTGATGTACCGCCAGCGAATCATAACAGAGCGCTCCGCCGAGGCCATGCAGAGGGCCGGCATGGACCCGCGGCTCAGTGGCATACCAGTCCAGCGCACAGTTAACAGGATCGCGGAGAGGTTGCACAAGGCAGTTGCCGACCGTGCAGCTCTGCGAAAACGGCGCCAGGAGAATGCACGTGATGTCTACCGGATTTGGAAGAAGCAACAGCTTGACGTGTATGAAGGATACCCGCCGCCAACTCCGCCGCAGCGACTTGTTGTGGCCGAGATGGACCCCCACAAACACGACGTCCTGCTCACAGCGCCCCCCATTGTGCCACGCAGCAAAAGTAATTTAGAGACGCCGCCCGCGCTTTCCACGAGCCAACCCGTCAACTTCTGGAACCGCATGCTCTCCACCAGTGTGGAGGGAAGGTGGCTAATGGAGGAAGGCGCGCCCCCTTCGGTGGAAGAAAATTTATCGCGAGGGGAACAAGAATTGCCACAAGGGGCCCAAGAAGCACCGTCGTGGTCATGAAATGCATTGGTGGGGGATTCGTCGTCCAAAACGAATGATCTGCCGGCGTAAAAGGCAAAAAAAAAAAAAGGGCGTCGCAAGAGAATTTTGACATTTATGTAAAAGTGAAGAACTCTGTGTGAAGGCCCTCATTTTTTCTTTTTTATTTGCTGTTGCTATTGTGTTTGGTTCTGCTGGTGGACGCGTCGCCCCTCTCTGGCGAGAACGTTTTTGTTCTTGCTACTGCGAACGGGACCTGTACAGAAATTTCTTCCTTCGCCACTTCTTTTTCTGCGTGTGTGTGTTTGTGTTTGTGTGTTCCTGTGCGCTGCTCTTGCTCACTGAGTTGCCCCGTAGTTGTCATTATTCTTTTTTAGGCATATCTCTTTGATACACCACGTCTGTGGTGGCGTTGTTGGTGTGCTCAGAGGGTTTTTTTTTGTGTGTGCGGAGAAGTCACGTTAATAGCCGTCATTGCGAGAAGCGTTGGCAATGCGCAGGGCCGCGCCCTTTTTTCGGGCACCCGCCTTTTTCTCCCCCGCCAGGTCAAAGGGGAGCCACTGTGGCGATGGGGTTGCTGGTGAACCGCATGATGGCGGCGGCAACGCCGATGGCGCGGGACGTTTCCCCGCGTGCTCTTCTAGGCGTCTGACGGAGGCTCAGCGTGTCTTAGCCCCACTTCCGCACCCAACGCAGTTGGAGACGGTAACCTTCCGTGGGGAGCCGTGGCGTCGGGCAATGTGTCAGCTTTACCGTGTTATCTTCAAGCTGCATCAGTCACGTCTGCTTCCCATGCAACGCGAGTTTGGTGACCGCTTTGTGCAGGTGGAGTTCCAGCGGCACATGGACGCCAGCGAGAAGCACGCACGCATTTTCTACCAGTCTTGGTACGGGTATGTGGCACAGCTGGAGGCTGGCCAGACCTCACGTGAGCTTACGGAGGAGGAGCTGCGTCAGTTGACGCCGGAGCAAAAAGAAAAACTTCGCGAGTTGCGAGGACACGTGATGCAGGTGCGTCAGACGGACTCGGACTTTGTGCTCTAAGGCAGGGAGAAGAAGATTCGTTCTTTGCTTTCAACTGTCACGTGAGCATCGCCCCATTGTTGTGTAAAGTGCGTTGTTGTACACGCCCACATGCGGTTGGAGACGCAATGTAGCAACGCGCATCTTTTTCTTTTTTGTCAAACCCCCTTTTCCTTTGCAACGAACGCCCCCCCGCTACCCCTTTCCCTCTGGCAATACAATCCCGTCTTTTCTTCCCCCTCCCCCTTTCACACACACACCCAACGGCAGCTGTCGCACCTTCGCTGTTCAAGGTTTTTCTTTAGTATGTATATGTACCTGGTGCGTCTTTTTCTCATTTCCTCTTTTTTTTCTTTCATTTCTTTCTTTCCGTCTTGTCGCCGCGGAGTTCGCAGAGTGGTGAGGGAGAGGAGAAAATTAAAGTTGCAAAAAGAAAAGAGAAGAGAGAAGACGTCTTTGGTGGGGGGACGCGCGCATTGAGGAAAAGCGTGGGGGTCTAGAGGCAGGCGGGGGCTAACATCGTCATCGCCGCACAGCCACATCCCCGCCCCCGCGCGGCGAAGGAGAAGAAAAAAAAAAGTGGTGCGGCAGGAAAGCGGTGAAGGAAAGAACGGGAAAGAAAAACGGGGGAAAAATGAACCCGAAGCCTTTCTATCGGCGGACGACGCTGACGGAGCCGCACTCTCCAAAGACGACGAATGCTGGCGGCAACGCGGCAGGCGTAACTTCCTCCAACGGGAGCGCCCACCAAAATCCCGTCAACGGCGGAAGCAGCGACCGTCGCGCGAAATCGCGCCTTTTGCCGACTTCGGGCACCGATAATTTGTTGAAGCCGCCAACGCCGGCGTGGAAGCTGACAAGATTGTCGTCTGGCACGCAACTCCACAGAAGGCCACCGTCCATACAGGGACGGGCCGCCTCGCCGCTGCAGGCGCCCCAGCATGTTGCAAGACTAAAAAAGGAAGTCATTGGGCGCCGAACGGATCTATCTCCCGCCCCTTCACGTCCACCGCGCGGGCTGGCACAGCATTCACTCGGTGTCTCCCAGCCGACACTTTTGCTTAACCCGGCGCCTGCACAGCGTGTCGGGCTGGAACACCAGCGCATCGCAGGTGCATTTCAACCTGGTAACGATAAAAGAAAGTCACCCGTACTGAATCGACCAACAAGGCCCAGTAAGGGAAACTTAATTGCTCCTGATGCTGGCGCGGCGCCGCAGAGCTCTCCGAGGTCAGGAACTCTTGGTGTTGGACGCCACAAAATTGTACTGGATGTGAAGCGAAGCACTCGCCAAGCTGCCGAACGGAGACAATTGTTAGAGGCGCTCCCATCAACAAATAAAGTGACTCCTGAGGACACAGTGCGGAGGTACAAGGAGTTGTGTGAAGCGTTAGGGCAGACACCACAAGATGCGTGGATTGCCGCAGTTTTAGAAGGTGCCAACGAGGCCAAGGTGTTGCCCGGCCCAACATGTAGTTCGGGGCCTCCAGCCGAAGTGGGGTTGAATGCGGGGAGGCGCGACAAGGTGGCTTCCCCGACAGGCGATCCTCGGGACTATGGGCGACGAAAAAGAGTATCGAGCAATGCCGCTTCTCTTAGAAGGCGGCGGTCGGTAGAGGAGGAACGGAAAGGTTCCAGTGCTCCTCCGAGTGTCTCTGCTCCTTCTCTTGCCACGCAAGACGCAGAAGACGCAATTGGTGTGGAACTGGGTAATGGTCGTGTGGAGAAAGACACCGAGTTGTATCGCATGGTGGCCTACTGTCAGCACCTCCAGCCGTACCTGCAGAAGATGAAACTGCTGAGGCAACGAGGAAAAGACGTCCAGGAGGCCCTGGATCGTTTTTTGATGCTCTGCCGAAGCCAACCCGAACCAGGGAAGAACACCTCAAAATATGCTATGACTGCACTAGAATCGCACGCAAACTCGCTCACTGATGGAATAAAAGAACTGCAGCGGCGCAACGTGGCTCTATTATTACGCCTCACTGAATATTCCCGTGAGGTGCGAAGGCCGCTAGGGTCGGTGGGTGGCGAGTTGGAGACAGCTGTCGCCGGGCAGAAGCAGCAGCAGCAGCCGGTGGATGAGAATCAATCCGAGACGAAGCGGAATGAAAATAGAACTTCGCTAGTAAACACGCCCCTCGCGTGGAACGGGCAAATACCGTTGGGGCGCTCCAAACAGACGGCGTCGAAGACTGCGTCCGTGCGTTTTCCATCAACAAAAGAACCTCCTCCGGAATATTTGGGCTTCCTTCGCGAGGAAGAGGGTCGTATTGTGCAGCAGCTAAACGAGGTATGCTTGCAGGTACGTGAGGCCCTTACAGGCGGATTGGCCGTGACGATTGCGGACGAGGCCATGCTGAAAACGCCGCTATTCCTCCCGTCAGCCTCGACTAACCACTCCGGGTGGCTCGAAAAGGCACAGCCGCCGCCGCCGCAAAAAGTTGCCGGCCACTGCGTCCCCCCGGGAGGAACAGCGGGGCCTGGGGTCGTTACAGTGACGACTTCAGCCAGAGATAGCGTGAGGCAGTCGCGCGGGTTGGTGGCGCGAAACACCGGGGGGAGTGTGAAGGGTGTGGGCAAGAAGAAAAGCGAAGCGGGCACGGACGACAACGTCCAAACCACCCCACCGGAGCGTGCCGTCTCAGAAGAGGCGCTCCATCGTGGGCCCTTTGTGGGCGTTGCGCCGTTGAACTGGATGCCAGTGGAGGAGGGCGAAAAAAACGTTGAGGGCGCCAACGGTAGCAACAACTGTTTTTCCAGCCGCAGCACGGGCAGTCCGCAGCTCGTCTTGGGGGGTGGCAGACGATACTTCTCCTTATACGCCCCTCCCCCAAAAATGGCAGGCGGCAACGTGCCCGTCCCACGAAGTAAATCAACTTCCGCGTGTAACGCAACGCGTAAAGTGAGCTTGGGAGGGAGGACGAGGTCGGCGACGAAGGCAGCGCCAACAACACGAACCACCATGAAGCAGGGCAGGAATAAGGCTCCGCCACAATTCGGGACCGCGTCGGGCGTCACCGACGCCACGGACGCAATTCTTGCGGCGCATATAAAAGAGGCGGGAGAGACATGGGAGGCCATCAAAGGGCTAGCAAGCATTGAGGCTGCGCGGACACTCCCCCAGGTGCAACTGAATTGCGCGGGGCCAACGCAGGGAGGAGATAATGACACCAATTTTCCACAGAACTTAATGGCGCAAGAAGAGAAACTCAACGAGGACACTGCCATCACGCCAGCATCACTAAATGTGGAGCTAGAGAATACTATAAAAAAACCTCAGGCTTTTTCGTTGAATTACAAACTAGAGTCAACGGCTGCGCAGTCACCGTGCACTGTCAGTTGGGCGCCGGATGTGTCTACTGAAAATGAATTTAAAAAGGCAACAGCGACTGGTGGTGTACCTTTTTTGTGCAGCTCTGTGCGGCGTGAAGAACAAGAGAGCGAGGGAGTTGAGCAGCTACAGGGGACGACTGATGCACTAGTGCCGTTGGAACGAGCTGCTGCCTTAACAAAGGATGCAAATATAAATGTGGCGATGGCGACCCGTATTCAGTGCTGCTGGCGCCAACATAAGGCGCGAACGATGTTGAGGCAGCGACGAAGGCTTGTGGGTGAGTCGAAGAGGCAGCGGCAGCATTGGCACATTGAAAATGTCATGGCTTTCCGACTTCAACGTGCATTTGCCAAACTCGTCGCCCGACGACGATGGCAACGTGAGGCGATGCAGAGGCAGTATGCAGCTACTTCGGTTCCCCAGGGTGACAAGAAAATGGCTGACGACAGCCGAACCGACAGTAACAAGGAAAACCGTGAACGCCCACTGACGCTGCGGGAAAGATTTGAACAAGTGAAGGAGATACGTAGGAATTTGTTGCGTGACGCGCCAAACGACAACAACTCTGTCTCTTGCATGAGTAGTACTCCCTGTAGCCATTCCGAGACGGTGCCGCGAGTAGAGAAGCGGCAGAAACCGGTGAGTGAAGTAGCTGTGAAGGTGCCTCCGTTAGATCTCAAATCTAGCGGTATTTCAACCCTTGATCTGGAGAGATATCCAGCAGACACAGAAAATTTCGATGTGAATTTTCTGAATCGCCTACTGCGTGCACCGAGGCCCCTCCTCTACGTGCTTCGTGTCATGTGTGACGCATGTCCCGTGAGGCCCGCTTCGGCGCTGGCCTTCTTGGAGGGTGTGGAAGGGCGGAGATCCAAGAGGAGAAGCCAAAACAGTTGCGATCTGCAGACGCCAGAAGCAGAAGAAGAAGTTGGAAAAAAGGAGAAGAAAGGTAAATGCAGTCACACTCAACCAGAGGAAGATCGGGAGGGACGTGCGAAAGGAAAAAAGGGGATAAGCGAGAAACTTATTGATCATTATCCCCACCAGGACATGATGGATGAGAATGAAACACAGTGGGATGTCCAGTCGTATCGCAAGCTTCATCGACGCCTTCTCGCCCGGAAAGCGGCAATGATAAAAGATGCAGAAGCCAGAGTCGTTTGTCCCTTTTCCATTCATGTGAAGAGCCTTGTGGAGGAAGATGAAATGCTGCATGAAGTGCCACTGGCAAAAGGCTTCCAGCGGCCGTTTGAGTGTTGGGGTACTGCATATGCTTTTCAAGTAAGGGTTTTCAGTGCCGCTGCGGAGTATGCGTGGAAACTTATATTCAGCCACACGCCACGTGACGACTACAGACAACGGATGCTGAAGACGAAGGAGAAGCAAGAGGCCCGTCTTAAGCGTGTGGAGCAACGAAACCGCAAGATTCTTGCCTGCTACTGTGTTCGCTCTGAGCGGGAGTGGTTGAAGAAGGCTTCAGAGGATCTCGGGTTCATTGCTCGCATCTATTTCCCAAGGAGTTCGCTGGATCCGAACGACCCTGACTTTGAGCGGGACTGCCGCGAAACATACGAAGACGTAGAAGACTTCCTTTACCAGTGTTTTCCGGCCGTCACCAAGCTTGAAAGGGTGCCAACGTTTCTCATGGGTGCCGGTATTTTCTTTCTGTTGAAGTCCACATTTGCCTGCACGAAGGAGACGGCGGAAGACGAAGAAAGCTCGGAGAGCGACCTTCTTGCTGGGGGCGTTGACACGATTCACGGAGGATCGCTCCCGCTGAAAGTTGCCGCCGCCTTGTACGATCCTGAGCTGCCACTGACCGCAGAGCAACGCGAGACAATTTTTACCCATGAAATGCTGAACCTTCTCGAAGACCTCTTTTTTAGCAGTTCTGCTCAGTCACGGAGGACAGACACCGTCACAAACAGTAATAGTAATCACTACGACGGGGACGACGAGGAGAAAGAAAAGAATGCTAACAGCAACAATAACATGGGCGGTGAAGCCGATTTCTCCGACACGAGTGAGGGAATTTGTGAACGGGTGGTACGCTCACTTGGAGCTACCACGCGGTTAGGCGAAAGTGTCACATTTTCAGTTGACTCCTCGCTTAGCGAGATCCACGCTGCAGCGCCCTTGACACAGCGCCCGCGGTTGCGCCAGGTGCGTACGCCGCCTCCAGAGGCATCAGCGGCCAAACGGCTAGTCAAGGCAGCTAGTAATAAAAGCAATATGAATAACATTGATAGTAGTCTTGTGGGGTTGAAGATTGTGTTCCCAAAGGGATATCTTGTTGATCTTAGCGAGCGGCTGATGCGTGCCCTGTTTGGGCTGTGTACTAGCTTAGAGGCTTGCGAAGACTTGGACGCCACACTCTGAGAGGAAAAAAAGGCGAGATAGAGAAAGAAAGATACACGGTGGTTTAGGAGGCTGTCTGTGTGTCTCCGGATTGAATAAAACGGCCGAGAATGGAACATTCTCGTGAGTGTGTGCACAAGTGCGTGTTTCTCGCCAGTGGTGTGTGGAAGAGTGACGGATACTTGTGAAGAGGGAGAGAAGTAAAAATAAACTGAATAAAGCCGACCAAAGCGATTATTGGGTGTATCAAAGAGGGCTACTTATGTTTTCCCTTTTTCACTACCTTCTATCTACTGCGCCTGTGTCGCTATCG